TTTGCGGGACTTTTACAGCTTGATGGATTTTTTTGAAAGAATAGTAAAGCATTGGTGAACTTCTGAGTTTTCTGTAGTAGAATTTATATAGGCAAAATCAAATAACTCATCTGATTAGTATATTCAGGACTTACATGAACTAATGTGTATTGACTTAATCAGTATCTTGTATTTATTGTTACAGAGTTGTAATGCATGTTCACATCCCACTGCATTATCTAAGACTGAAAAAGAGGAAGGGTAACCTGTGGTTTTGTGTTGGCAGTCAGGTAAAATTCTAGTTTTAGAAGTCCTCAAAATATGATGAAGAAGCATTATTTCTCTGGTGAAGCCATTAAATCTTAATATGCTAACAGCCACTAAAATGTGATCTACAAAGTGAAAAAGCACTTGGAATGAATCAGTTGACTTTGTGTTGACTCAACAGCATTAGTATTTTTTTCATTCAGAGTATTCCAACGTTAAGCTATAAATTGGGTTACAGGGATCTTGCCACTTTCCCACACGTTACGGTTGAGTCTCCTGGGCGTGGGGAGTGTTCTGGGAGTCATTCTGGTGCTGCTCCAGTTCTGCCTGTTCACACAGCTGTTACGGGCCGTCCCTCCCCACACTAGGTGAAAGGAAATGTTTAACTTGCAGCATGTGTTCTGAGAAATTCAGGTGTTACCCTTTAGCTAATTTCCCAATCAGATTTTTCCTAGTCTTATTTTTTCAATACTACATACTTACTGTTAAAAAAAAAAAAAAAAAAATTACTTGAATGGCCTTTTTTGAATAAAATGCCAAGAGTGTTTGCCCTAGTCAACAAATAATAGGTGTTTACAAAACAGACTTGATATTTACCTAAAAGTAGCACACTAGTAGGAAAAACAAATAGTCTGTATTTTCTTGCAGTACTGATGTTTGTGTATATTTCCATGGAGCAATCTTGTTCACCCCTACAAAGTGAAATGTAAGGTTGTATTTCAATAGATAGGCAAGTCCTCAAATTTCTGCTTATTCAGCATCAAAATCTTTGTATTTTGAGTTGTAATGTGCTTTAGTATGGATTCCTCTAAATTGAGGAAGCTTTAATTCTTTCAAAATTTTTTTCCTTTTAGGTGGTGGCTTACACCTGCATTTCTGAACTTTGGTTTATCTACTTGCACAGTTGTGTATTGTAGCAAAATATAACCAGAAGCGGTATTTTGTAGAAGGATGCAAGTATTCTTCCATGTTAATGGTGTATTATACATGCTGGGAGTTGGGAAATCCAAAATGTACGCGTATGTTAAGATTTATTTTTAAGAAAACAAAGTTTCAATTTAGTATGTTCTGAGTAAGACATTGATAGAAATAACTGACATGAAATTTACAAGGCTTTGTAGGAACACTGTCAGGCATACAGAAAAACCATTTAAATCTCTAGTATGAGTTTTATGTCTGGTGGGGGTGGGGGGGTCCCCTAAATAATATTGAAGAAGAGTTTAGCTGAAGTACATTAAATTTACTTCACATGACACTTGAAGTGTAGCTGGGATGCGTTGGGTACTTGCTTGCTTCCATTCCTCATCGTGGTGTCTTGCCTACGAATATTTTTTCCATCATTTTTCACTATTAAGATCACTGTCTAGTTTGTTGCCCACGCATGGTATAGACCGAGGATAAATACAGTCGTTGACTCAGCTTATCAGTTCAAGTGTGTAAATTCTGTGAGGACTGACCTTTGCCATAAGCCTGTTGAAGTTTCTGTTGCTTTTCTGGGAAGAGAAGACAGGTGTTGCACCTTGCCATCCTGGCCAGGGACAGCATCTATTTGTGCAGGGTGGTTGCTTCATTTACCTGGACTTTAAGCTGAAATGGAATTAAGTTCCTATAGAAATTGATAATTCGCTGAGTAAAGTGCCACCAGTGACAGGAAGGCAGAACCAGTAAGCTCAATTCATTTTGGAAAAGCACTTGTTTAAAGAACAGGTAGTGGGTCTTTGAGCAGGAACGAGCAAATTGTAAGTTTTATGGAAAGAACTGAAATACAACACTGTGAAATTACCTTAAAGGATTTTTTCCAAAGCGTAGTAGTTATCTTTTAGATGTACTTCTGTTCTCTTTGAAGAGGATCACTGTTTGGAGTTTAAAGCAGTAATTTCTGTTCATTTTAATAAAGCTCAACAGTAGAGATTAACCCTTTAAATGCAGGTTAACATTTCTGATTAGCCTATCCATTGCTAGAACCGCTACAACTTTTAAGTTATCTAAAAAAGCAGTGTACTTTGCCTTCAGTTGGGATTTCAGACTTTGTTCAGTGTTACTGTTTAACTGATGCATGGCTGAGAGTAGTTGGAAGCAGGATTTTGCATCCTGCTGTGTGAGAAGGGCTTTTGGGGAGGGGGTGGCCGCAAAGACAGTTGTGGTGTTGTCCTGATCTCAGTCCCGCAAACCGCTGTGCTGCGAATCCACACGTACATTACTGCTATACAGGAAGCTAGGCTTCCTCAAATATATATATATATATTTCTTTCCCCTCCTCCCCCTTAGCTTTTGGGCAGTTTAATTCTCTCCAGCTCCCTTTGTTGTCAGACGAAAGTCAGTGCTGATGCAAGAGTGCAGTGGAAATACAGGGTCCTGGGGAGGAAGGAACTGCAGCAGGACCAGCTTAGTTCTGCTTCATGCCTTATAAAACAGTGCAAGTGGCTGGGGGGGGGTGGGGGGGCGGAGAGTGCCAGGAGGATCCTAAATTAACTTTGAATTCAAGACATATCAGTCAATTTAAGAAACAGTTATATGTATGGGGAAGTCACCGGAATGCATTTTCAAATTAAAATTTAGGGTTGCGTGGAGGGGAGTTGCACGGTTAAAGGCGTGGGGTTACAAGTTAATGGTCTGGGCTGAGTTTCCAGTATTAGGGTTTGGAGAAAGAAAAAAGAATCTTCCATATGTGCTATCATTTTCTTACAAAATCTTGAGCAACTTAATGGTGTATAATTAATAGGAAGTATTGTAGATTGCATTCTGTTCTATTTTTCAGTGGTGCAAAAGTCATTTACTTGGTGAGTAATACTGTACTGCATTGATACATGGAAAATTACCTAAATTATCTTGTAACTTCTGACTTTGTTAGATGTAGATTTCTGTAGTGTAATTGTTGTTCTTAATTAAAGTAGCAAGAAGTTTGAGTAATTCTGCACTTGATCAGGTGTGGTGCTGCTTTGTTTACTTCCTTGCCCTGGCTGCAGGGGTTTGTTTCATCAGCTCGTTAGTGATAAGTAATATCAAGTGGGGGGGGAGTCAAAAGAAGTCATCAACATGTGTCAAGAGGTTTCAAAAGCAGGGTTGTAATGCTTCAGCATAGTGATCTTGAGGTATTTCTAAAGGTACTCACATTTGTAACTGGGATGTGTAGGTGCTGCTTGGTAAGTATTGAAACAGTTATTTTGGAATAGTTGATCAGATAAAGTTGTGTCTGAACATTAACCTATGGTGCTCTCACTTGTTCCTTGTTTTCTATGAAGTTTTAGGATGCAAGTTTGCTTTACCTAATTTTAAGTTTTGATGTGAAAGAAGCTGATGTTTCTAGGAGAGTTTTTGTTGCAATCTTTATATCTACATTTATAGTAAAGCTAATACTATAAAGAATTGATGGTACTTGGCCTACAGGAGTTAATACATTTAGTTTTGAAATAGTTTATCTGTGGTATTATAGAAAGCATTTCAGGAAATTAAGAACTGCTCTAGGATTTTATGTTGTGTGTTTTTGTTTTTTTAAAAACCCTTCCTGCTTACTCTCAACAAGCCTGCTCGCCTACCTGTTTGGATTAAATCCTTCTCCCCACCATCTTCCAATTTAGTAAAAATGGCAAAAGGGAAGGACAGGGGAAAAAAATCACTCTTCTTTCTTGCCCTATCAGAGAATCATAGAATCATTAAGGCTGGAAAAGACCTCTAAGATCATGAAGTCCAGCTGCCAACCCATCACCACCATGCCTACTAAACCATATCCCGAAGTGCCATATCTACCTATTTTTTGAATACCTCCAGGGATGGTGACTCCACTGCTTCCTTGGGCAGCCTGTTCCAGTGCCTGACTGCTCTTTCAGTAAAGACATTTTTCCTAAGATCCCACCTAAACCTCCCCTAACGCAACGTGAGGCCATTGCCTCTCATCCTATCGCTGGTTGCCTGGGAGAAGAGACCAACACACACCTCACCACAACCTCCCTTCAGGTAGCTGTAGAGAGCAATAAGGTCCCCCCTCAGCCTCCTCTCCTCCAGACTAAAGAGCCCCAGCTCCCTTAGCCGCTCCCCGTCAGACTTGTTCTCCAGACCCCTCACCAGTCTCACTGCCCTTTTCTGGACATGCTCCAGCCCCTCAATGTCCTTCTTGCAGTGAGGGGCCCAACACTGAACATTCAAAGCAGTTTCTCCAGACTGTCATCTCTCCGTTTTAGAGGCATTGTTTATTGGTAGTTTACATAGTCATCTGGAGCACTAACTACTAATAGTCCAGCTTCCATGTTACCCACGCCTGTACCCTAGGAGCCTTACCGTCTCAAGTCTTGTTGGGCAGCAGTCTGAACTCTCTTCATTCCTGTACAGCCAGCCGTGGAGCTGAACCAGCTTGGCCTTTGCGCAGCTCCTCCTTTGCCAGGCCCCCAGCTCCTCCTGACCCCATGCCCATGGCGCGGGTGCTGCGTCTCTGGGGGCTCCTCGGGAGTCCCGTGGCACAGCACACCCGCTCGCATGGCCGCTGGGCATCCCGCCGGCTCTCCTCCGGGACAGCTGTCTGAAACAAGGCCCAGCTTGGCTGTCCCATCGCCTGGCTGTGCTCATTGCTTTCCTCTGGAGAGACGGGCGGCCATCGGTACGGGTGCACCTCTCCCTAGGTGAGGGCTGTGTTCCTGAGGGAGGCCAGAGCCAGTGCTCTGCCATCTGCCTGCTGTGTTAGCCAGCTTGGTCGGCTGTTCTCCTCACAGGTTGCCCTCCCTTGACTTTACAACCTTCAGGTTTTTTCTTCTTCTCGCTTTGATCCTCCTCATCCTCGCCGGGCCCCTCTCCCTGCGGGCTCTGCCCTGCCCCTGCCCCGTCCCACCACCTTCCCTCAGCACTGCTGTGCAGACGAGGGCTTAAAGCTGCATCTGCGCTGGGGGCTCGAGGTCCGGTTCCCTGTGACAGACCCGTCGCGCTGGTGACCTTGTTGGCCTCGTTTAGCTCAGTGTCTTTGGGGTAAGGGGTGTTAATTCTGTGTTCAATTCCGTGCTCTGTTCGGTCTTAACTCCAACTGACCTGGGCGGGAATGGGCAGCCATGCTCCTCTTGAACTCTAAAGCTCTCCTATTTTTAGAACAACGTAAATAACAATTTAAGTAACCTGGTACAAGATAGTAAACAATTTAATTTGCATTCAAACATATTTAAGTGTCCTCTTCATGAAATTTGTGTAGTCTGGGGTATGTTCCAGGTATCCATGTCATCATATCTTTGTTTAGAAAGCTTTTCTCCTTTACCAGCTCCCTTACTGCGTGTGGTAACAGCCTCAGCGCTCAGTGGTGCTTTGCACCATCTCTGTTGGCGTCACTCAAAATTACGGGTGGCATAAACTCTTTTGAAAATGACTGTTGTGAAAGGTTAAAGCTGCAGTTCTCAATGGCTTTAAGGTTGTTCAACACCATTTTGTGGCTCTTCCTTAAAAGTGCTTTAGTCTGACAAAACTGTTACCGCTCAGTCTGATGTTTACCCCAGCGTTCATGGTTAACTCTAGCAGCTCAGCAGGCTCTAAATTTGGATTTGGGAAGGTGGAGAAAGGAGAAGAGAGTGCTTTGTAAGAGAGACTGATTTTCTTGAACTCCTCTGTGCTGTGGAGGTTTGAAATGCAGTTCAAGGTAGTGTGCTTGCATTTTATGATGGCCTGTGAAAGACACCCCAAATTTAGCCTTGCTGTCAGGTCCTGAGAAACCTTGAACTCTGCATAATGGCTGAAGGTGTGCTAACAGTTGGTGGGACAGCGTCCTCGGTGTCCTGGTGCGGCCGGTGTTGGTGATGCCAATGGTCAGCAGCAATTCCCTCAGCCAGCAGGCTCTCCTGCACTCGCTGCTTTTATTGCTCCTGGTAATCCTAAACAGCAGGGAATTGTCCCCTGGGAAATGCAGCCCTGAGAAGGGGAAAACTATCAAGAACGGGAACACTAACGAGGGGAGAGTGGTGCCATGGATGGACTGGGAATCACCAGGATCCACCGTTAAAACCACAGATTCTTAAATCTCTAATTGTTTTAGTGCACATTAACAAAACCCAATGGAAAAGTGTGTCATCCTCTTCTGGTAGCGAGGAGCGATACGCTGCTGGTACCAGCAAGGCTGTTAATTAGTGCATGTGATTGAGTGTGCTCTGGGGAACCCTCGTGTTTCTGCACTGAATGAGATTTCTGTCTCTAGTATACCTGCTTCATTTCTTGAGAAATTGGAACATATTTATTAATTCAGGGAGCTGCAGAAGAGAAAGCATCAAATGACCGAGGAAGGTAAATGAGCGTTCCTATATGGCATTGGTCTTTGTGAATTACGTATAACTATATATAGCAATTTCAGAAGATATGCTCTGTATGTTACTTTGCCATATGTTACTGCACTAGTTCCATACCTCTTGCAGGGAGAAGTTACGCTTTTACCTTTCCAGGGGTTATAATCCAGTGTTATCTCCTTTAATTAGCTTAGTTTGAAGAAGAAAGTGTTACACTTGGTGATTCCAGTACCCTGGGTACTCAAGTGGCTTCATTCTTTAAGGAGCTCCACCCAGCTGCTATTTATAATCTCATCCTTTTACCCACAATTCACTTTTTAAAGGGGATTTTCTTTTCACTCCAGAAATCTGGTTTTGACCAGTAGTGGGAGTGGGAAAGGGAAGGAGGAGTGTAAATTAGTATAGGAGCTGTTGCATTGAAGTAAGCATGTGGTGCCTAAAAGCTTTGTTTTAATTCAGATGCATAACTAGCTGAAAGTTTTTTGGGGTTTTCTGTTGGGGTTTTTTTTTTATTTAACATGTGGAGTAAACATTTTCCAGTAAATTCAATAAACAGATAAAAAGTCTGGTTGGTAGTTTAATTTGCTAACAGTTATTCTTTGTTTATTCTGTGTATAATTACAACGCTTTTCGATGTAGTTACTTTGTCCAGGGATACAAAAAAAATTAGCCTTAAAAGACCTGGTAGCTAGATGTGCTCATGATTTTGAGCAGTAGAACTTCTTCTTTATTGAGTATTTTTGGGTAGTATTATAATATTGCTGTAAAGTATTTTGCTTAATAATTGCATAGTATTGCTTGTAATGTGTTTGTAAATGTGATCTGAGCCAGCATTGTTGAATTTCTCTCTTTGATATAAGCAATTTTATAGCTTGTTGCTTGTGCCTTTCTGTGTGTATTTGGATGTGACAGCTTAAGATGGTGAAATCTTTGCCGTAAAAGCTCTTAGATGTATGTAGGGCAATGGAAAAGCATTACTCTTAGTTGTGATAAATGCAGTTTATATTGGGAGTCCTATGTAACTTGAAAACACAGAGCTAATTTGTAAATTTGGGTGGGGGGTTAGACTGTCGTCTGCCGTTCCAGGAGCATCAGGAGTCTGTGTTCTTCTATTTAGTAGCAGTCTTTACCACTCTTAGAGTGAAGGTCCAATAGGAAATTCAACTGAAATAGAAATTACCTTTTGAAGAATTCTCAGTATATAATATATTTATTATTTATCATTTGATGTACACAATTATGTCCTCAGAGGAAGCAGCCAATGGAAAGAAATCACACTGGGCAGAGTTGGAAATAAGTGGTAAGAAACTGAGGAATGGTCCTGAGTTACAAACTCGTTGTGCGTTAAGAGTAGCCTACGTAGTACGGCTTGGATGAGAAGTCTGGAGTGGAGTTACCTGCCTTGAAGTGAGCCAGCAAACCAAGATAGCAGCTGCCGGCCTCCGAGAGTGTCGGGAAAGAGGTTGGGTTGGGATAACATAGGGAGCTGTGGGAGAGGTAAGTTGAGGCAGGTGGGGAATCCTAACATGTAGGAAAGTTGGGAAGGTGAGGATATGGATGTGAGCTCTGTGTGTTTTAAGAAGATGGGGTAGGTGAGAGGGTGAATTTAAGATCCAGTTTGTCAAAGAGAAGAGGGTGAAGTTGGGGGTGATATACAGATATATGCCGTTACTTTAAGTAGTGCAACAATGATGTTATGTTAGTCCATGATAGTATAGTTTCTACTGAAGCAGAAGTTTTCAGTTTAAAAGCGGTTGTAAATCTTTGCACTGTTCTTGAAATTAAAAAAAAAAAAGAAAAAAGAAAAATATCCCACAAGGACTGTGCTAGCTCTGAGATACTGTTTGTCTTTTGGATCTTTTCTTGAAAATAAGATAATGCTCAGAATTCATAAACATGAATTCCAGCTGGTGTGGGACACCAGTCTCTCTTGATTTGTAGGCTAAATTCCAATTTTGCCACATAACATGTGTATACAAGGAAATTCAAGCAAATAATGTAAGAATTTAAAAAATATTTTGTGGTCTAATTTTAGGCTGAAATTTTGCTTAAATATGGAGGCTCTTTAAGAGAATGCAAAAATTGCCACGTGGTATTTCTGAATGACTGTCCAGTAGAGAAATCTGTGGAAGGAAGAATACAATTCGAGTTCTTTGAATTGCGAAGAGTCTTTCCATCCAGATCTTTCAATCTGTGCCTTGCTTCAAGTGCCTTAACATGTGAATAGCATTCTTTACTTGAAGGTTACAGATGCAGAAACCTAGTTAAATGCTGCTTCAGGAATCACCATTATATGTCAGCGTTAGGCTTGGATATCCACTTGGACATCTGCTGCCTGTGCATAGGAAGTGCATTAAGTGCTGGCTTTTTCCTTGCGTGCCTGGTAATCTCACTCTAGACTGATTCTATCCGAGGGAGGTGCGGCTAGTGAAGAGGATGGGTCAGTGATGTTGATTGGAAAACCTTTCAGCTACAAGGGTGTCTTTGATCGCAGTCACCTGTTTGCACTGGGGAGCGGGGAAGAGGTGTTAATTCAATTTAAAAATGCATAGAACTATTGATTTGTATTTAAAACCTTTCAGAAGATTTCTTACTGAGCACTACAGCAGTATGAATCCTTGAAGAACTGTATGCATTTGCCTTGCAAAATAAAACATGATGTTTTTGTTTTATTAATGTTCATGCTGTCTTTGCCTTACAAAATACTTGGTCATCTAATACAGAAAGCCAGAAATGTTTTAACTGCTCTCATTGAAATCACTGAGCTTTTTCACTGCAGGCTTTTTTATGCCACTCTCTTACTTATAGCTGTAATGTGGAAATGATACCTGTGTTAAAACCTTTTGTTACCAGGGACTGAGTGCCAGATACCCATGTATCAGTGTAGCTTTCCCCAGGCGCTAAATATGATTTCTCTTATTTGGAAGATCATTTGAGGAAAGGAATTATAATGTGTGTATGTTGGTATAATATTAACCAGATTGTTCTTAATACTGGTGAGTCATGGTGGGGGTTTTAAAGGCTGTCTTGAGTAACTTTTTGCCTTGGAGAAATTGGTGTTGGTACTCTTCTTCTAATGCTTTTGGTACAGTGAGATGACTTCTGTAAATAAAAAAGGAGCCACTGCTGGGTGGGAAAAAAAAAAAAAGCTTGGAGAGAAGATGTGTTTTGAGACCTTTTGATGATATCTCACATTCCTTGCATGTGGCAATGTTAAAATCTTGATTCTGTCACACAAATCCATGTTTCCACCCTTCAGTTTATACAAAAATTTTACCCTTATTTTAAATATCTGGCAATAGTTTATGCAGCTTTTAGTTGAATGCCAGATGGAAATCCATGTTCTCAACTAAGCATTTTAGTCACCCTAAATATAGTGCTTCTATCTGTTCTTGGCTGGATTAATGCCATAGAATAAAGATTTTTGATTTGAAAGATGTTGCGCAGAAATAAGGGGCAAACCGAAGAAGCATCTTTAATCTCAAACATAAAGTATAGTTGAAAAAAAAAATCTGTTTCTTACACCTCTGTTAGTTATTGCATTCATGGTCAGTTAGTAAATAGTAAAAACTACAATAAGACCCAGACAGAACTCCATGTCAAGCCCCTTCTCCCCTGCCCCTTACATACTTACAAAACATTTAGTTATTGCTAAGCCTGTATATTTTAAGTGTTCTATTTTCTTTTGTACCTTCCTTCCACAGGGAAAGTGAGAAGCTTAAGTTCGTCATTGTGGACGCTGACCCATTTGACAGCTTTGCATCTCAGTGACAATTCCTTATCCCGTATTCCTTCAGACATTGCCAAGCTTCACAATCTGGTATATCTGGACCTGTCCTCTAATAAAATTCGCAGTTTACCAGCAGAGCTCGGAAACATGGTGTCACTCAGGTATGTGAATTTTTACAGGAGCAGTCACCCATTTTATATTTTTCCAAGTCAGGTTTCCTTTTATACATCTCTTTCGAGACTCTTTTACAAATTTTTATTTAGTATTTTTCTCTGAGAAGTGCTGATACACAAAAAATTGCTTTTTTAACACGTAGTTAAGGCAGGAAAAAGATCAGATTAAACATTTATAATCATGCTAATGACATTTTTTTTCTTCTTTATTCTTTTTTTAGTAATTATTCGTAACAATACTTCTTATTCTGTTTATCTTATAACAACTGCAACCTGTCTAATATCATCTCCTTCCTTCCCTCTTTTGCTGTTGTGTAACTGCGCTCCTGTGCAAACTGGGGAGGAGAAAAAAAACATTCTAAATGCACCTTTTATTTCTCCTCAATTTTACACTGCCAAGGTGTGCAGAGTTTGCATGGAAAGATATCTCCTTTTGGAAGTGAACCATGAATAGTGCTGCTTATTTAGATTATAGTTAAGGCTGCAGCATTTCACTTTGTAAAACACTGTTATGTAAATATAAAAATAAGAGTAAATATTTACAGGCAACATTCTTTTGCCCTTGACCCAAAGGAAGAGTCTTATCTTAGGTTTATTAGACAGTTACCAGTAGTTGCCTTCATTGCTTTTATTTTTGAAGACATTTATGGACAGCGTTCTCAAATCCAGAAAACACTGAGTCTAAAAGTAATGAGAATGTGTTAGAGATAAAGAAGACGACAGTAGAGAAGTGGACTGCCAGCACAGCGCTAATGAAATTGGAAGCAAAGCAAGTTTGCAGATAGAAATATCAGTCATTGCATTTTCTTCTACTTAGAAAAGTCCACTCTGTTGGGGAGGATTAAACCAGCTGATTAAATTGGTACTAAAAGCTCAGATTCCAAAGCAGTTAAAGTCTCAACCTTGGCGGCTGAGCAAAGGGACCTTGCTTGTTAGAGCATAATTGGCAGCTCTGTTTCGTGGTGTGTTGTATGGTTGTCCTCAGCTGTGAAGTAATCTGTTCTAAAGAAGGCTTTGTGTTACTATTTAAATTAAAAGCAGTTATTAGTAACAGGTTTCTTCCCTCCTTTATCCACTCGTCAAGTATTGTGATGTAGCAATCCTAAATTTACTGGAACATTCTCAAATTCATCTCTGTACTTCGTTAGCATCCTTTTGTTTTCATCAGTCTTTTTCCTTCTAAAATATTGCTGCAAATGTAGTACTCGTTCAGTTCAGTTTTGAGCCCCTCACTTCAAGAAGGACATTGAGGGGCTGGAGCGTGTCCAGAAAAGGGCAGTGAGACTGGTGAGGGGTCTGGAGAACAAGTCTTATGAGGAGCGGCTGAGGGAGCTGGGGCTCTTTAGTCTGGAGGAGAGGAGGCTGAGGGGGGACCCTATTGCTCTCTACAGCTACCTGAAGGGAGGTTGTGGTGAGGTGTGTGTTGGTCTCTTCTCTCAAGTAACCAGCGATAGGATGAGAGGCAGTGGCCTCAAGTTGCATCAGGGGAGGTTTAGACTGGATATTAGGAAAAATGTTGTTACTGAAAGAGTAGTCAAGCATTGGAACCGGCTGCCCAGGGCAGTAGTGGAGTCACTGTCCTTGGAGGTATTCATAAAATGCGTAGATGTGGCACTTCAAGGACATGGTTTAGTAGGCATGGTGGTACTGGGTTGATAGTTGGGCTTGATGATCTTTTGATAATTGGGCTTGATGATCTTAGAGGTCTTTTCCAGTCTTCATGATTCTATGATTTCTTTTCACTGGGGGGAAAGTGAACAAAAACCCATAAGCGCATCCTACATGGTGGCACTCTGCAGGTCTCAGCTGTGCTGGAGTTTTATGTTTCAGACTGGCTCTTACTGCAGACACTTCCCGTAGCTTCTGGGAAGTTGTTCAAACTAACGGTAATTCAACACTGGGCATTGCTGATATCCTGAGCCACAGAAATCATTTGTGCTCTCACACTTGAGAGCTGATCTCAGGTCTTCCAGCTCCCACGTCTGGAGCTTTGGGTTTGGTCTGTGTGGCATAGTTCGCCCGAGGCTCCTTGCATCTCCCTTTTTACTGCAGGTACTTGAAGAAAGAGGTGTCAGAGAGAGCAGTAAGATTTCTGATCTTTGCAGAAAGAGAGGAAAAATAAATAAACACTGTAGCTTGTTATCTTGGAAAGCTCAGCTGTACAACAGATTCTCTTGATACGCTTGAAAGCACTGGTGGGATTTGCTGTGATCCCCTTTGCTTTGTAGAGGGGGTGGGTTCCACAGAGGCAAGGATCATTAGAGAAAATAATTCTTTCATCCAAGAGAAAAAGTGATAATGATACCTGCTACTGTGCCATTCTTCCAGCTCAGCGTTTTTCCTCGCAAAGAATAGAGTATATCTTTTTCATAATTCATACATAACTTTCTGTAGACTTCAACAGTGCTTTGAAAAACTCTTAGAGGAAAACATGGCTTCTTAAAGAGGAAACTAGTAACTTTATAGTGTCATAGGGAATATCATCCCTAAAAATACTAGCCATTTAAACCTCAAATACCTATGGAAGTGCTGAGAGCTAGTGGAGACGTTGATTTGGTTTTGGGGGTTTTTTTGTGGGTTTGGGGTTGGTTTTTTTTAGTGCCCTCATCCTCTTTTCTACCTGCCATGTGCCGAATTCATACTTAGAAACCCTAGAATGACACTGTGGGCTTCTGAGTTTCTCTCTAAAATACGTGCTTTTGTCTATGGGATTTTATACTGAAAAGCAACCCAGCTGGCTGGGTGTGCTACAGTCTGGCAGTCAGCTGAGCAGTGACTTGACATTTCTAGATAACCCAGTGAAATAAAAAGAAGGTCCCCTCCTGTATCTTCTTCCGCTATCCCACACCTCCGAGTGTCTCTAAACCAAGCCACTTTACCAAGGCTTCTCAAAACACAGTGAGGCGGAGAGAATTTCTCAGGAAGTTCTTCTTGGGGAAGGACCAGGCAGAGTTTATTGCTGCAGTGCAAGGCTAGAAGAAGGGATGTGTGTCTCTGCTTCAGATGCTGCCTTGTAGAAATCTAAAAGAGCTAAGGTCACTCTTGGCGTCCAGGTTTCCTTTCTCCCCCTCCCCTCCCACCCCCCCCCTTTTCCCTTTTGTCTTCTTTTTTGTTGCCCAAAAATACTTTTCAAGTCTCCACGCACCAGGCTGTAAACACTTTGGAGTAGCAACTTGATGTTGAATATGGTGAGGCAAGTCTTCGCTGCTTAGATGGCAGTATGATGAGGGAAGTGAAAAGTTCCTAACAAGTCCGTTTTCTCTGCCCAGTTCAATGGAATATCAGAATTCAGGGCATGAATTCTGTTCCTGTCAGCACATTGCTTTTGTAAGTTAAAAAGCACATAGTTTGACTTAACATTGATATTATGAAAACAAACAACAGATAATTGCTATTGTAAATTACTATTACATGGTGATGTAGCTCTAGTCATACTGTCCTGGTCCTGGATTTTTTGGTTATTTGTTTTCTGGGATATAATTTCCCTTTATTTGGCCTTTAATCATAGCAGAACTGTTTCATGGTCTGGTTTGTCAGAGCTGTTACTGCTTCATCACTTGGAGTTATTAAAGTGTTTAATTATTGCTAACGTTTACACAGTTTCTGACTTTTTAAGATGAACTCGCCAAACAGCTACTTTCCTCTGTACTTCAGCATAAGATGTATTTTGTCTATGTCTGTGTGTTTGAGTACAGCAGGATTTCCCTAACTACTGCTGTTTAGTCTTGGGGTTTTGCAATATTGTGGTTTGCTCGTATATTGTTTCTTTTTTAGCTAAACTCCTTGTGCCACACTGCTGAAGACAAACGTCGGTCTCTTTTCAGCCCTATATGATTTTTGCTTTGTCTGCAGGGAACTACATTTAAATAACAACCTGTTACGAGTTTTACCTTTTGAGCTGGGAAAACTGTTCCAGTTGCAGACTTTGGGTCTGAAAGGTATTACCTCCTTTTCTTGGTTGTCCGTGCTTGTTTGATGATACCGCTTCTGAGATGTAATGGCTGTAGAAAATTAAATGTTACCAAATAGGACAGATGTAGCTACTTACTCCACGTTTATAAATATTTTTATTTAGGGATTATTTAAACAAAGAAAAAGAACTAGCTCGACGAAGCACTCCACATAAAAGAGGTTGGCTTCTCTTTCCGCTGAGTGAGCAGAAACTTTCTGTTGCTTGCCTGGGGGTTGAGTACAGTGCTGCTTTGGCTAAGTAGTAGTCTGCAGGTAACTGAAGGTGTTCCACTCCAGCCGAAAAGGGAGCATGCTTTGTACTGCTGTAGGGTACTCTGCCATTTATGCAAGCAGCAATTTAAATCTTTTTCCTTTTTTTTTTTCCCTCTGAACTACCTACAAAATTGCTGACCTTGGGGGAACCTGCGTCACCAAATCAGGAGCACTGGGTGACGCAATACCTCTAAGCACTGCGAAGTCTCAGAAGTGTGTTTTTCTCCCCCTTAAAATCGGACAATTGCAATGCGTGTTGTCCATGAAAACCTTTGCGACCTGCTCACACGTTTGGCAGATGGTGGCTGCCCCACTGGCGTTGAGCAGAGCGAGCAGAGGCGGCTGCGGTGTTTGGCCTCAGCAGCTCCTACTGCGTGCTGCACCGTGCCCGTCCTCGGGGCTGGCTGTCGGAAGGCCGGCGCCGGAGGGAGCGTGGTCCGGTTCACTGGAGCTGTTCACACTGCTGGTGTTTTGGGGGGCTGAAGACCTGAGGTTTGAAACCTCTAAGCAGTTTATAGTAGGTGCAGGATCTTTTCTGAGAGATGCCAGCTTTGAACATTGATATGTAAGTTGCTAATGGTTCTGTTTATTTTATTCAATGTTTCTGTAAATATGTTTGCAGGAAATCCACTTACACAGGATATTCTGAACCTTTATCAGGAACCAGATGGGACGCGAAGGCTACTGAACTATTTGCTTGATAATTTGGCAGGTACTGCAAAAAGAAGTAAGTGACCATTCTTAAAACACTTCTTTCTGCTGTGTGAAATAAATGTGATTATTACTTCTTGTATCTCTGCTTTGATACGTTCCCATAGTTTCAACAGAGCAGCCACCTCCAAGATCTTGGATTATGTTGCAAGAACCAGACCGTACAAGACCAACAGGTACTGTAACACTTCTTTTTTTTTTTTTCCTTCTGTTGTAAAAGCTGCGGATCTCTACTATCTGTTGAAAAATTTTTGATGCTTAAATTGGCCAATCATCTGTGCAGCGCTGAGCAGCCAGCTGAAGTAGTTCTGTCTCAATGGGAACACCTGTTTCAGATTTACCCATCTTTTGTGATAAAGTAATTTCTTTTTAATTAACATCCTCCTCACAGGAATTGAAACTGTTGTCCACAGTCAGTTAAACAGTTGAATTTTAACAGGCTTAATTGAACATTTGTTGAAGAATAAAAAAAAAAATGGAAGAACATGAGCATACTTTTCCAAAAATGTAGAATTTTTTTCTTTTAAGTAACCAGTGTGTCATATTTGACTCGGCACTTTTCATGCTGTTGGGATTCAGGTTGTGTTTAATTGTTTACTGATTTTTCTGCGTGAATTGTCTAAAATACAGCCTCTTCTATTTACCTGCACATCAAAAATCTTAGTGTATTTCTTGATTATTGTAGCATCCTCCCTTTCAGGACTGATGTACATTACTTTCCCCTATTGATTTTATTACGGCGGTTGCTTCAGACGTCATGATGTTAACGCAGCTTGTCTTTCGCTGTCACCTGTTTGTTTTCAAAATGCTGAGCTTCGACCCCCAGTCAGCCCGAGATCGTTGCCTCAATTTGCTAAATCTTCGAACAACTGTCTCGTTTCTTTTTTCCCTGAGTTGTACTCTGTGTTTGAGAGGAGCTCCGAATAAGCTTCAAAGTACCTCATTATTGCAACTGCAAATTCCTTAGTGCTTTTTAAAAACAAACAAAAAACCCCAACAAAACAGAACCAAAGCCCCATGCTGCTGGGTTACCTGTCAGGCTGCCCCAAACTGTCTCATTGTCACTTCCGTTCCAAATGACTGCGGAGAGTGGACGCTGCTTGGCTTCACACCCGAACTGTGGGCTTTTTGAGGAGGAAACGGTTGGGGGTTTATTTTGCCTGTACTTTTTCATTGTGCGAGGGGATCCTTACCCTGCCTGTGGATCCGTTACAGTTCGTGGTTGTAATAATGAAGGTAGATTTTAAATAATCTATTTGGAGAGTTTGCAGACTTTTGTATAACGAGCACATGTAAGTGTTCAAACACACTTACCTTGTTTTAGACCTTTCTCAGTAGAGCACCATTTAGCAGAAAGTACATTTGTCTGCTATTTACTACATTAACCATATAAAGAGGGATTTAGGGTTTTGTTTTCTAATTAAATTTTCTAATTAATGTTTTCTAATTAATTTCTACAAGACAGCTGCTGTAAGTCCAAACTTGTAATTTATCTTGTTGGGATTAACAATAATTTTTTTTTAGTATAGAAACACATGCTGTGTTTTGGTTGAAGCAAATGAAGCATGAATTGATAAATTTGCAGAAGACAAAAGCGAAGAACGTAATTGTATATATATCTTTGTTGTAGTTGTTAAATATATCAGTGTGTAAGTAAAATTATTGTTCTGCAGCCTTGTTTTCTGTCATGTGTTACAACGTACTCTGTGATAAATATGCTACCCGGCAGCTGTATGGCTATTGTCCATCTTGGGCATTGAACTGGGAATACAGAAAAAAAGCCATTATGCAGGAAATCCTCAGTTGCAATGCTGATATCATAAGTCTTCAGGTAAAAGATACACTGTTATTTCTTTTCCTTTTCTATTCCCATGTGGTGGTTTCTCTATATTAAATGTATTTACAGTAAACGATCTGTTTTCAAAACCTTCTGAAAACAACAGAAAAAAGGAGTGATGTTTAGAACATTATTCGTTGTTTGACATCAAAAGAATGCTTTTCAGCCCACGCGGTTGGAACGCGAGGCAGCAGCTGCTGATCAAAGACATGAACGTGGGGGTGTCCTGGTGCCTGCATCTGCATGTGGGGCAATAATTGACACATTTTCAAATAAAAGGCTGGAGATAAACAGAACTCTGGGGATTACAGAAATTCATTTATATTTTCTTAAAATAGGGATATTGCTCTCAGATTTCATTCTCTGATGTACTTAATTTGTAGATTGATTTTTTTTTTTTCCCCTCCTTAAATCTAATTTGAAAGTGATTTACACTTCTGAAGAGTCTTTTGCTAATAGTACATTCATGCTGTGCTGTCTTATAACTTTATAGGAGGTTGAAACAGAACAGTACTACAGTTTTTTCCTGGTGGAACTGAAAGAACGTGGCTACAATGGATTCTTCAGTCCGAAATCTAGAGCTAGGACAATGTCAGAACAGGAAAGAAAACATGTTGATGGTTGTGCAATATTTTTCAAAACAGAAAAGTAAGTGATGGGTTTTGCAAAGCCTTCTGTTGTGTCTTGCTCTCTTTCACTTAGATTCTCAGGTCAGTCTGTAGCTCAAACAGTTTGGCATTGGTTGCCCTCTTTGCAGCCGTTCCATATTTGTTACAGAGCGTTCCTGTCGTTAGTGGCCTGTGCAAGAGAAATCATTTTGTGCATAACTAGCGATAGAAAACTTTACCCTGAAGTTTTGTTCAGGTTGAAATTTCCTTCTGTTAGAGCAATGCAGGTTAGGAGTTCACTAAATTATACTTCAATTGTTGAGTGTGTGTGTCCCAACCATTCGGTGCTAATAATGGGAAAGGAAGCAAATGTCTCATTTTCTTGCCTTTTTTTGTGTGTAAAGGAATTGATAATTCCCAAAATTGCTGATATAAGACCTCAGATGGCATTGGGTTTTTGGTACGTTAGCCTTCTAAAGCAAAAGATAAGGCACTTAATATCATTGCTCGCTTCTGAAAAAAGGCCGTTATTGAAGAGCTGCAGCACTTGCTGATTGTGCCGTATTGTACAACTGTTTGGATACAAGGGTAATAATTTCCCTTCCTCCTCCTGCTTCCATTCCTTTGTGTCCACCGGTAAATGCAGGTGCCAGGTTTGATACCATTTGGCTCGGAAAAATTAGGTAGTCCCTCTCTATTAAACCTGCATCTTGAAACTAGAAACTGGTGTAGAATTAGAAGCAAACATTCCTTTTCTATAGTGTCTCTCTCAAATCCTTTATTTGAAACTAAGTATAAAATACCTAAAAATCACTACGAAAACTATCCTTTGATGTCAGCTTAGGATTTTATGGAATTGTGTGATTGGCTGAGATTTTCACATCATAAATGTGTTTGAGCTTTAATTAAAAGGAGCCTTATCTGTAACGTTTCCTTTTGTATCAGGCTGCTGAAAAAAACTTGCATGATATTTCTCTTTCAGATTTACTTTGGTTCAAAAACACACTGTTGAGTTCAACCAACTAGCTATGGCAAACTCGGAAGGTTCGGAAGCTATGCTGAACAGAGTTATGACAAAAGACAACATTGGAGTTGCTGTGTTGTTAGAGCTGCGAAAAGAATTGATAGAAATGTCATGTAAGTCCCATTTAGTTTATTTTTTTAATAGGTTATATCTTGTAAGTTAACAAATGGACTTTTGTTATAGTAAAACAGAGAGACCAGGTTCCAGAGATGAGTGTAACCTCGCACATTGTACGCTCAGACAGATTTATTTCCAAAGAGGATTTGGGGGAAAGTTGCATTGCTTAAATGATGAGGATTTTTTTTTTTTTTTTTCCCCGCTCACACCTTTTTGCTTAAGAAATACGAAGACTTGAGTTTGAGTGATTTTTTGCTTGGGAGTTATGTACAGGTATCACAGAATCAGTTGATGTTAGTCACGTGTTTCTGGGTCATGTATCTGCATCATTTTAACTTATTATTTTCTTTACTGTCATGCTTATACAGCCTGCTTGTTCTGCCCTGTCATTCTTAATTTAGGAAATGTAAATTGGCCATTTAAGTATGGCAGTGGGTACCTGCTCAGCCTGTGTTATGTTTATCCAAATGATATTTTATTAATTCAGATTCTAACAAACAAGCCTTTTAAGAAGCAATTGTGGCAAGAGAGGTAACTTGTAACGTGGATAACTTAAAATTCAGAGCTCACTGCCTGATCAAATGTGAACAGTGCCTGTTTAGCGTCACAACCTGAGGGAAACTGTTCTAATTTTTCAGAACTACGCTATCTGCCTGTCACTAGGAGTATCTGTTATTTGTGGTAGTTCACAGTATTGTTAGGTATGAAAGCATTACCTGTGACAGGATACTCTGTCTGTTAGTGGTCTTGAATATGGAACACAATTATTCCTAATGCTTTATATCAACTAAACCACTTAGTAGTTATAAGAGGAGTTGTATGACCCTCTTAAACTAAATGGTATTAGCCCTCTTCAGGTTATACTGGTATTCTGTTTTACTTTATCTTCCCCTCAAACATGTTGTTTAAAATTCAGTAGTAGTGGTTTTTGCTCTTGACACTGTAAGGTAAATAATTGATTTTAAATTTTAGCTGGAAGGCCACATCTTGGGATGGAGAAGCAGCTAGTTCTTGTAGCTAATGCGCATATGCATTGGGACCCAGATTATTCTGATGTGAAGCTGGTTCAGACTATGATGTTCCTGTCCGAGGTAAAGAACATAATTGATAAAGCTTCTCGTAGTCTCAAACCTGGTGTTTCGGGAGAACTTGGAACCATTCCACTTGTACTGTGTGCAGATCTCAATTCTCTACCAGACTCTGGTAAGAGTTCTATTTTTTATTTTTTTTTAAACTGTTTCAAGTATGTAACAGTTAAAATTTTAAGGTGTCATTTTTTAAAGGAGTTTTCAACTTGGAGAATATGTTGTTTGATATCATAAGCTCTAAAGGCATTAAGAAAAAAGTCGGAAGAGAGGAAAGATATCTGTTTCTTTTCTGAGTGGCTTTGTTGCTTATGCAGTGGTGTAGCTGCATCTGGTCTTTCAGAAGCGTTTTCGTTGTTATCTTACAATACAGGAATGGAAAGGAAGAAAATATCTTCCAAAAATAACTTGTCGGTTTGGCTTTGCAGCCTCTTTAAAGTTAACTTTATCTGAAGTGGTGTTACAAAAGGTGGCTTTTTTGCAACATATTAGCTGAGGAAGGCTGAAAGCCAAGCCTTGAGCACAGAGAGGAGGAAGCCGCCCACCTAGCACCTATAGAATTTGACTTCCACTTTTTTCATCTTCCCCCGTCAGTCCTAATTAACCTTCTAGTTTCTTCTGATCAAAGCATGTCTCTCTTTGTTCTAGGTGACATTTGCTCTTGACTTTCAAGACAATGTATATGTATTATTTTACAAGAACTACTGCTGACTGTATTGTGTAATTGTTAAGGTTTTGCTTTTATAATGCTTAAGGTTGCGTGTATGACTCGAAGTGATCTACAAATGCTTACTTGCTGAAAGCTTATTTATACCTTCGTGTATGTGCCTCTCCTAATAGGTGTTGTCGAGTACCTGAGCACCGGTGGAGTGGAAACAAACCACAAAGATTTTAAGGAACTGAGATACAATGAAAGTCTTACTAACTTCAGCTGTAATGGGAAGAATGGAACGACCAATGGCAGAATTACACATGGTTTCAAGTTGAAGAGTGCCTATGAGAACGGTCTAATGCCTTACACAAATTACACATTTGACTTCAAGGTAAGGACTTGGCTGATATTTTGGAAAAGTTTTCTGTTTTGAAGTTTAACGAATGTGATTTGCTGTATGAAATTGTTGAACAAGTTAATCTGGGTAGCTAACAGTAAACTCAACAAGTTTATATTTAAAACCTAACGAACTAGAGTGCCCAGCGCTTCAGTCTCCTAGAAACCAATTTTTCCTTTTTCTTGTTAATAACTTGTAATAGATTTGCAAGAGTTGGGGTGCTGTTAACTTTCCCTGTAAATAGGAATATTTTGGATTTTAATACACCAGGCTAAATGAAATAGTGCAACAGGGGCACTGAAGCAGTCAACTGCAAGGAAATAATCTGTGTTGCTACTGGAAAACTGTGCTCTGTTGCCCAGAGATGGCTCTTTTCCTCTTCAAAATCAGAGGAACGTGATTTACAGCTTTGTAGGAGGTTGGAAATTAAAACCTGCGAAAGCAGAGCAGAAGTGATACTTACCCTTTTGTTTTGCTGATCTATTGAGCACAGCCCATGGGACATGGGAAGCAGAAGTCTCCTAAGTCAGCGATATGCTGTGGAGGAGGAATGGTAGCATTTCAGTTACTTGTAATACTGAGCTCACCTTTTGTTTGGAACAATACCTTGAGTCGAGAATATATACTAATAATAAATTCTATTTCTTTTCTTGTTTTAGGGTATTATTGACTACATATTCTACTCTAAACCTCAGCTAAACATACTTGGCATTCTTGGACCTTTGGATCATCATTGGTTAATAGAGAACAATATAAGTGGTTGTCCGCATCCACTCATCCCTTCTGACCACTTCTCACTTTTTGCACAACTGGAGCTTTTGCTGCCTTTCCTGCCTCCTGTAAATGGAATCCATCTCCCTGGCAGGAGGTAGTCAAGTACATTTTAGAGGGCAACCTCAGTCTAACTTGTACAATTGTAAAATCTGAATATAGAGGAGTGAGGTATGGCCAACAGGGATTTTTTTTCTTAATAATCTTAATCTTAAATCTAATTATTTGCTAAAGACATAGTAAAAGCCAGGTGCTATCAACAGACACAATTCTGAGCCCAATATGCTTTGTATACTGTTCGACAGCGATCGGTGTATTTGCACCTTTCTTTAATACGTTACAATTGACCTTCCTGTTTCTTTTATCTGACGTGACATTTTCATGCCTTGAAATAGGGAATTGTTATACAGTATATTCTCTTTGCACAGTTATCTGTAGCACTACTTTTTGAGGCCAGTAGGAACATTCACAGAACATTCTTCCGTACTTCACTCCCTCCTTTTTCAGACTTGTTTGTAAAATATAGAATTTGAATTTAGCCTTTATTGATTGTATATGAACAACAGAAAACCTGATTTATGAGATTTTGTACTTTAAAAAAAGAAAAATCAGATTTGGAAAATGATTGTATTGTAAACTAAGGCTAAATTTTTATCTGTTTTCATGTGTTATAAAGGCCAGCTTGTAAAAGAGGTTGTCACAGGTTTTCTCTGCTAATGATTTGCACTGTTAGGGTTTCGTTAGCCCTTTTGTACTACTTTTTATGTTCAATTGAGAACGTTGCTTTTAAAATCCAAACCTATAAAATCTTACTGTCTTACAGAGATAACTAAATACATTCTGTCTATTTCTGATTTTTTTTTTTTAAAAAGAGAAAAGCATAGAGTTCTCACGGAACAGATAAGCTAAGCAGTGAATATAAGTAGACCTGTATGGATTGAAAGTTATTGCTGATGTGTATACGCTCAGATATTTTTCTCATCTCTAACTTTTGAGGTAAAATTTAGGATACTTCTGTACAGCTTCTTCATTTCTGTTTTCAATACTTGTCCTATCTCCACTGTGCCTGCTTAAATTTGTTCTCAACTAGCACTGCCTGTGCATGCAGAGAGATCCTGTGCATCCTCTTTTATTTTTTTAAATAACGTTAACACTTGTGAGAATTTTATGAAGATACTTTTGTATAAGCTGTGGCATCTTTTTTTCCTTTGTGAAGCATTTAATATCACACTTTTTGAACATGTTCAGGTTATGGGTACACAGTTTCTAGCTTCGAATACCCATGCACTGCTTCTTTCAGTGTCATTGCAGAGTGCCGTTTTTCCCACTAAGAATTACTATCATGTGAATTCTTTCGTTGAAGTGTGTTCCTCAGTTTCAGAAAGTATAATTGCTTGAAGGAAAAAAAATCCAACCCTACCTTTTCTATTGACGAAGCAGTGTAAAATAAATGCATTTTCAATACAGGTCCCAAAGACAATTCTTCAGATCATTTTTTTTATTTTTAAAGTGACCAAGTCTTATTTTAAAGTGTCAAGCAAGACTAAAGTTACAGTGTACCCTCAGTGCCATTTGTCATGAAGCCAAGTATATAACAGCTTACAAATTTAACTTGTCTATTTGTATCCTAAAAGGGAGGAGAATTTATCGTCTCCTTAAACTAATACAACTTGAATAATCAATGTTAAAAAAAAATAAAGAAAAGATGGAGTTAGAGCGCTTGGTCTTAAACAGCTTTTGTTTCAGCTGCGGGCAGGGAAGCAAAAGGACACTGAGCATTAAGAGAAAACTTTCTAAATATGTGAATTTTTATATATAAGAGAGTGGATTGGTAATAATGATTCAAAATTTTATTGAGAAATAGCACAGAATTGTGCTCAAACCGTTCTGTTTTAAGCTGAACGTAAAAAATTGCAAACAGTTCGGTTATGTAAAATGTACATTTTAAAATTTCAGTAGGAGAAATTTTGATCTTGAATCCTTGTCTGGGACCTGATCTCTTGGGGTTATTTTGTTTTGGTTTTAGTTGTGAAAACACCAAACATGTCCAGTTTATAATCAGTACATTGAAATGCTGGTAGTATTGCTGTAGTAGACTTAATGCGTAGTGTTATTTTTTTCTGTTTGTTTTTTGGGGTTTTTTTTGTAAAGTGTGAATAAAAGGTGTTTTACTCATGTTTCCTTAATGATGTCTTGGTAATGTACATCATGACAATTTCCAGTGATGATGAGCCAATTTAGCTTGTCAAACTGAGCAAACTGTTTTTCTTTTCTGATTATCTGGATTGTGTAATGAGTCCAGAAAGCTTTACGGAAGGGGAAGGGAAGCACTTACTCATTTTGTATTCCTTAGAGGGGGATAATTTACTTTAATAGATGCTGGAGCTTGAGTGCACTTGTTAGATTCTAAAGGTTTGAGCTTTATCCAATATGTGTTCTCCTGCATTGCTTAGTCTTAAAAAATATTTGAATTTATGACAGCATGTTAAAATATGGCCCCTTGTGCTTTTGGAGACACAACTGTTCCTGCTTAGTCACCTTACAGTCTAAGGGTCCATTTGAATAACCGTTTCCTCCAGCTTTTATACTAGTCTGTCAGGTCCCAATCGAAAACCCACTGAATACCTTGAAGACGCTCCTTTGACTTCACTGGGTTTTAACCGGACTGCAGCTATGACTTGGGGGCTGAAGGAAGGAGAAATATTTTGAATATAGGGAAAAACCAGATGGCACCAAACCAGAGCTGAGATAAACTTTGTCAAACAATCTTTCGAAGAAAATATATTCCTGTGTCAAACAAATCTAACTCAAAAGTCTCAATTTCCAGCTATAACATAGAATAAGGCAATAAACCGTGTCTTCACAAAATCAAACTGTTTGCTTCATAGTTTTTAACATTAAAATGATTATTTGCAATATTTTTATTCGGGGTGATTTTGGGTGTTGCCATAACGTACCTTCAGTGTTCTTGTTGTAAAAGCACATATAGCAAAAGTCACAGAATGTCCTTGGGGTTGAAAGGATTTGTTTAGGTTAGACCAGGCTTTTTTCCACTTAAAATACAGGTCTAGTTTTATTTACATTTACCAAGAATTCTGGGTGTCAGAGTGTAAATTGAAATATACCTTTAACTAAAAGAATTGGTTGGAGTACAAGACTAATACCACAAGTAACTGCTTTTAACATAACACAAGTAGGGGGGGAAGGAGCGTATAAGTCAGTGCGTGTTGTAATTATTTTGTCCTTTTTGCAGCTTTAAAAAAAAAAAGTAAATTTGGCTACCATTTGACAAAACTGACTTTAAGAACATTGTGTGTATGCATTTTTGATGGAACTTTAGCAAATTTCTCAAGTTTTGTTTTTTAGAGCAAGCTCAGAAAATAGTTGATGGTTTGCTTTTTCAACCACACAAAAACCTGTATGAAAGACAAAATAATTACAATACCACTGAGGGGGAAAAAAGACCTAATTACACTGTAAAACTTAAAAAAAATTCAGTTAACCGCTTAAGTAGCAAGCCTTTTTCATCCAGCCAGACACAGTATTTTTTAGTATGTTAACTGCTATTCTTTTATTTTGGTTGCATAAATTTGTAACACTTAAGTGTCTTGGTATGTTTAAGTAGTGTCTAAAATAGAATATCTTAGTCTTTATTCACAGTACTTCTGTATAATGTGTAATGCACTGGACTAACTCTTGTTTACCATTCATGTAACAAAAACCAGCACATTATCTGCACTAAGCTCAAAGAATGTTGCATTTGTCTATAGGCAGCTCTTCAATAAGATAAATGGGAAACTGAATATGGTCTGATGGTAAACAAGGGCTTTTACTGTTCTCTTCAGTGGAACTTTCTTCTTGGTCAAATTTTAACTAGTTAGTATTATATTTATATACAGGGTCTTCTTTTTCTTTACCAATGTATTTTCCTACTCATAGCTGACCAATAAATCCAATATCTGTTTCAAACCTTCTTGAAGTCTAATTCATATTTTAACTTAATTCCTAAAGCTTTTCCTGAAGAGTTGCACCTACAGCCAAAGTGAGTGAGCTGTGTTAAGGAAGGGTAAAATGGAAGCAGGTAAGAAACTTGACAGTCCTGGAAAGATTTTACTGTGCTTTCTGTTACTTTCTAGATCTGCAGACCAGAAAGCTCCTGGAATCAGCTGGGTTTGGATTGCAAAGTGAAGACCTGGTTAGTAATGCCTCCAGAGTTTGTGGAAAACCTGTGTCCAAACCTCCTCAGATATCTGAACCCCACGTCTTCATATCTGGCCATCTTCTGACCTTCCCAAGTGAATCGATAAGGTCAGTTGTGCAAGTGTAGGGTCCGCGGGTGTTGGCGGGGTCCTGGAGACCCCACTCCTTCCTTCCTCTTCCCTCTCCACCCCAGGAAGCTCGAAGTAGGCTTGGGGTCTGGCAGTGGGAAAGGATTCAGAGATTCAATTAATTTACGATAGAAGGGGAACAAAGTGGAGATTTCTTGCATCTTTTTTTCAGGAATGAGATTCAGCTAACTCTTGTACTTAGTTCATTGTAATACCACATTTTTCCTCCGTATCGAAGTGCATGTGTAACAGTGCACACACATGTTTTTATATGATGTTCCCATCACTAGCAGCAGAAAACATAAAGCATCCAAGCATGCTTGCTGTGTAAAGCGCTGGAGCACGCACGGCAGACATCTCACTGGCAGCCCTGCGTCCCTTCAGGACTCGGCGTTCAGTGGGTTGCCACTGCTTTGCTTTGAAATCAATGATCGAGTTCAGCATGTCCATGAATACCGCACGCCCCAGAGCGTTCAGCTTGTCCATAGTATTACAGTTCGCTGTCTGGAAGCAACTGTAAGTCCCCAACAGAGTGATGAGTCCATTCCAGACTTCATCAGGGACTTCTCTTTGGTTCTGTCTCGTGGGTGAGATTTTAATCCCCACCACCACGTTTGCAGTCTTGCCACTAGATGGGGCGGGTAACGCAGGCTTGGTGTGCACGCAGCCTCGCAGCGAACGCGGCTAAGCGCGCCGTCCGGAAAGCAGGGCTCGCAGAAGTATTCTTAAAGAGTATTTGTGGGAATTCAGCCCCAGGAGCGATACTTTTCAGGTGGCAGCAGTTGGTTTGGTAACGTCCATGCCGATTAAATAGTGGCTTTATAAATCCATAATGGATAAATAGTGGCTTTATAAATCCATAAAGTCATAATGGGAATAAAAAATACCTACTTGGTCCTCAATGGTAAAATCATTTTAGGGCCTTCACTTGCTGCATTTAATCTACTTAATGTTACATTGTGAGATGAGTACAGTTGTTATATGGTTCCAAATTAGAGTTTTTGGGCTCTGAAGTAATACTTGCTAGGGAAATAATTTCTGTAGGGAAGCTCTGTGCCAAAATTAACAGAGAAGCTGGTGTCCTGTCCAGAGAGGAAAATGGTATTTCTCACTCAAAGACAAAACATTGAGCTGAGCTTGTGTCCTATGATCCTAAGCCAGGTAGGGGATAACTTGTCTTTCCTTAACTTGTGGTAAAATAACTACAGCTCTTTTAATATCATTGAATACAAAATCACTGTGGCCAGACTCCCAGTTACTGGTCCTTCATACCCCGTGTGTCCGCTGGCCCGTCAGTGATTGTACGAAGTTGGATTTGTGCCTTATAGGGTGGGAATATCCCAAATCAGTGCAGGTGACTGCATGGCATCTCTTTTCTACTGACATGGGTAGAGCAGAGGATCCTTAAAACATCTGGAGCTGAGCCCGAGGAGAGAGGGGGAAGGAGAAACTGGTAAGTGGGAAGGACAAGAATATGTAAGGTACATCAGGTGACCTTTTGGGAGAAACCATACTTCATTAAAGGTGAGCTGCTGGTTACTTGCTTGCTTTTCATCTTCCCCTCCTAACCCAGAGGCACTAACTGTTCGCTTCCTAAATGTTCACTTACGCTGTTTGCATGGAAAGCTAATTAAGCTATTGGGGACCTTTGGTGCCTTTGAAAATTTTCTGATTCCAGAAGAAGCCTGGTATTCTCACAGGTTATCAGTTTTTAAAAGATAGGAAGGTGTGTTCTGGTTCAGTCTTGCCAGTGTGCCAGTGGACAGGTTTCATTTCTTTTAAAATGCTGGATGTTTGTTGTACCAAAACATACGTTACAGAAAATAGAAACATACATACGCTTTTGCTAGGTTTTAATGACCACAAAGACTTAAGCTTTAAGCTTCAGCTAATTGTTCATAGCACATTGTTTTTTCCTAGTTAGTTAATTTCATTTAGTTTTCCTAATTTTTTCCAGGTTTTTTTCTTTTTTCTGTTTTTTTCCTATTTTCTAGTTCAAGGCACAGACTGCTCCCCTTGGGTGCCAATAGTGAATTAACAGTAGTTTCTCCACTTTGGCTAACGGTATCGACAGCTCTTCAGAGGCTGGATTTACTGATTTTATTTCCCTTCTTCCTCTTCAAAAAATAGCGTACCAGTCAGTAGTCTGCTTTTTGGCCCAAGAGACCATAGGACCTCTTTTATCTAAAGACCGGAACCAAACTATGTGCTGGTTTTGCTGACCCTGGCAGCAAGGTGATGGGGCAAAGCCTAGAGATGCACAAGTGTTTCTTCTAACCGTTTTCTCCCTTCCCACCGCTCCCAGATGAAGCAGCGGGAGAGAAGAGTGTTGGGAATTGCGTACCAGACGCTCTCGTGAGCGGCGTGGGGTGGACGGCAACGTCGTGTCTGGCAACGCAGTATCCCCCATGGCTATCAGTCACTTGATGGGTCTGGACCTTTGCTTTTCCCCGCTGAGTTGCTCTCGGTGGTTTTTGGGGCTCTGCGGGGACGTGATCCAGGCTGCCGTGGCACACCAGAGCGCTTCAGCAGCCGGTGTGGGATGCGATGGGTGCGGTGGGATGCGATGGGTGCGGTGGGATGCGATGGGTGCGGTGGGATGCTGCAGAAGAGCAGCTGCTGAAATCTCAGGAATTACAGGTCACCGTGCAAAGGAAGCGAACGGAGGTGTTTAATGTCTGTCTTGGTTAACACCTCTGGATGTCCTTTGTCGTGGCACAGTCATGAGCTTTTCAGTAAATAACAAGTATATTCAGTAAGAACTGTAGGTGCACTGCGTACAGAGAGAAGAGCAAGTAAAACACGCTGCTTC